CTTTGGAGACCAGGCTGGCCTCGAACTCACAGAGATCCGCCTGGCTCTGCCTCCCGAGTGCTGGGATTAAAGGCGTGCGCCGCCACCACCGCCCGGCTACAATCTTTAGTCTTTTAAAACTGGATTCTTAACCACTATTTCACTACAAAGCCTGCCCCGAAAGCTGTGTTTCTGACAAGACTAGTTTCCTAACGTGGTTCCTTGGCCTCTAGCCTGAGGGTTGTATGAGTGTAAGGTGGAGCGGTCTACTTCACCCGCATAAAAAAGACACACAGAGTGTCAACGTCATCACATCTAAGTGAGGGCTACATAAAGGCTCACACAAGAAAGATAGGTAAGCAGGACTTCCCAAACAGATAAAAACAAACTAAATGGGCACAGCATGGTGGTGACTGCCTTTAATCTCAGCACTCAGGAGGCAGAGGCAGGATGATTTCTTGTGGGTTCAAGGCCAGCCTGGTCTACATAATAAGTTCCAGAACAGCCAGGGCTACATAGTGAGACCTTGTCTACAAAACAAAACAAAACGAAACAAAACAAACAAACAAAAACCAACCACCAACAACAAATAGAGATTCTAAGTGCAGGAGGCTCAGAGGTCCTTGCCCTCACATCTGTGAGAACCAAGGAATGTTAAACATGCAGGGTTGTCTCTTCAAAGGCAAAGATTACGCCTGTTTTCAGAGCAGAGGTGGTAAACTGCCTGGTGACCTTTGCACTGCAGGGCTCAGACCACCCCAGATCCTCTCGCAGGCTCTCATTATAAGACTGTTTTCCTAGATCAATCTATAGAACCTATCTTTATGGAAGATGTCACATGTACTTTACAAAGTTTCCACATGGGACTGAGTTAATTATCACCAGGAAATTTTTTCACCAAATTATGCTGTGTTTAAATATGCCTAAAAGAAACTACTCTACTTGGGGTCAGATTCCTGAAGTTTGAACCAACACTAGCTAGTAATTTGTGTTAAATAGAAGTTTAACTCATGTGGATCAACACTCTGTTGGCCATGGTCGTCACAGAGACCACCTGCAATTATGGTAATCATTTGTTACAAATCATGAAAGAGAGGGTAAATTAAAAAAAAATTTGCCTAGTGGTGATAAGTTCCAAGACAGCCAAGGCTACACAAAGAAACCTTGTCTTGAAAAACCAACCAACCAACTAAACCAACCAACCAAACTTGAGAAAATGGGGAGCTAGAGAGATGGCTCATCGATTAAGAGCAAGTACTGTTTTGTCGTCCCCCCCCCCCCCAAAGGGTTTCTTTGGGTAGCTTTGGAGCCTGTCCTGAAACATGATATGTAGACCAGGTTGGCCACGAACTCACAGAGATCCGCCTGCCTCTGCCTCCCGAGTGCTGGGATTAAAGGCGTGCGCCACCAGCAGCTGTTGCAAGTGTTGTTCTTGAAGAGGACCCGGGCTCAGTTCTTAGCACTCACATATGAGTTCACAACCATGGGTTACTCCACTTCCTCCACAGGCACCAGACAAACACACGATGCAGATATGCACACAGCCAAAACACTAATATACATTAGAAACTAAAGCTGAGAAAATTCTAACCACATCCCATTAAACTGGCACACTGATCAAGGGTAGAAGTGCTCCCTCATGGAAACAAAGGTTTTACTTTTCCCTTACATTAATTCTATAATAAACTTTGCGACTTTTTTATTATTATGATGTGGGTCTGTGTGGATTAGTATGTGTGCACAATGATACATGTGTGGATGTCAGAGAATAACCTGTGGGAAACGTCAGTTTTCTCCTTCAACCATCTGGGTCCCAGTGATAGACTCAGGTTCTCAGGCTTGAACTGGGCCATCTGGGTGGCTCTGTTTGCTTGTACACTTCTAAATCTTTTACTGAATACCTGGATCAGAGGAAATGGAACAGTAATGCCTTCACATGAAGACATTTCACAGTTTTTTAATGTTTGTAATGCATATACAATAAGAAAATTTCCTTGCTTCAAATTTGCTTTTTTTTTTTTTTTCTTTTTCCGAGATAGGGTTTCTCTGTAGCTTTGGAGCCTATCCTGGAAGTCGATCTGTAGACCAGGCTGGCCTTAAACTCACAGAGTTCCACCTGCCTCTACCTCCTGAGTTCTGGGATTAAAAGCGTGTGCTGCCACTACCCGGCCCAAATTTGCTTTAAAAAAAAAAATCCAGGCAGCTGGGCATGGTGGCACACACCTTTAATCCTAGCAGAGGCAGAGGCAGGAAGATCTCTCAGTTTGAGGCCAGCATGGTCTACAGAGTGAGTTCCAGGACAGCCAGGGATACACAGAGAGACCCTGTCTGGAAAAACAAACAAATGGCTATGTCTTTGGGGGTTGTGTGTGTGCGCATGAGTGCTATGGTGCCATGTGGAGATCAGAGGACAATGTCAGAATCATTACTTCAAAATCTAAAACTGAAAAAAATTTTCTGGTTGAATTAATGAAGTAAGCAACCATATTTGCTTAACTGTTTTTCCCTTTTCTCCTTTTAGCTCTTCAGCTCCAAAGGAAACACAGAGCTTAACAAGAAGCTGAACTTCAGGCCCTGGTTTTAAGATCCGAAAACTTAGAAAACACTGAAGCAATTAACTACAGATTTTAGGATTGCAGCTTCTGAAGGAAAAGCACCAATAAAGACAGAAGAATCTCCTCTGTTCTTGCAATTTGAAAGAAGTCTTTCTTACCAGATAAAGCAGGAAGGTGTGCAATCCTGTTCCAAGTCCAACAGAGGACAAAATCCCCAAGCCTATCCAGTAGGCATACAAAAGAAACTGCTTCTCTATCCGCTGCACATACTGAAAAGAAAAGAGACAAGGTATAAACTCGAACACTCTGCCCAGGAACATGCCTTAGTAACTACCACCCACTGACCAGCCAGCTCAGCAGAGCTGAGGAGCTAAGAAACATTAAGACAAAAACATTCCTCCAAAAGGTCTCACAATGTTAGTGTACTATAGCAGAGGACGCAAATCAAACCACCTGCCCCCAAAGAACAAAAACCCAAAACAAAACAAAAACCCAACTCATTCAAGCAGAATAAGTTGGCACGAGAGAAAAACAAAAAAACAAACTACTATTATGGTAATCATTATTTTTTTTCTTTTTCATTTCTTGAGGCAGGATAGCATCCTGTAGTCCAGACTGCTGGTACTTTCTATGTACACCAGGTTAGCCTTGAACTTCAGTTGATCCTCCTTCTTCTACTTGCTAGATGGTGTGATTATACAAGTGTGCTACCATGCCCAGTCTAGTATAGTGATGCTAAGAATCAACATTTTAAAATCAGTTAAAAATCACAAACTTTAAGAAAACACAAGACAGTGTTAAAGGGACCGTTATACAATAGCTGTGAAGAGAAAACTTTAGGAACACACAAAACACAGTAGTAAAGGAAGGGGTTAATGAGCTAGATGTGGTAGCACACCCTTTTAATCCCATACTTGGGAGGCAGAGACAGGCGATCTTTTAAAGTCAAGAGGAATCCTAACTACTGAAATTCTGTTGAGTAACTACGGAACAGTGCTCTATATTTTTAGTGTATGGAATAAGACATTAGGAGAAACAGTTATCAGATAAATTGAAAACACAAAAGCACGCTTACAAGTGTAGAGGGTATAAACTCTGAGACTTACATGAGTCCCATTGAGAAATGTCACGTGAGCACAGAGTGCCGAGGAGCAGTTACTGCCTAACTCACCTGTTGGTGCGCTCCTTCCACATAATACGTAGCGATAAGCACAGCAAGCAGCAGGAGAGAAGACACCACAATGCTCTGACGATGCCACAATCTTAAAAATAAAAACAATCTCCCATTTACGTTGCAATTTTCAGAAACAGCCTTTGGGATGTAAAAAGGAGTCAGTCACAGGACATGGGCCCAGAACCTGAATTATCAAGTAGCCTGACCACAGCCATCTCTGGGTCCAAAGCCTGATCTTGTCCACACCCCACCTTTTAATTTGGAGAGGTATTACAGGGCAAGCCCAGAGCATGGGCTTCAAAGCCCCTTTCTGAGTAGGCCACTCACTGCTGCTCTGTTAGCAGGACACTTAACTTTTCTGATTTTGGTTTTTGCTTTTAAAATCATAGTAATTATATATTTGCTTTTTCTTCTTCATAGACCTCCTATAGGATCAAATGAGCTACAAAATGTTTTATAATTTTTTTGTTTGTTTTTTTGTTTTTTTTTTGAGACAGGGTTTCTCTGTGTAACAAACAGCCCTGGCTGTCCTGGAACTCGCTCTGTAGATAAAGCTGGCCTCAAACTCACAGAGATCCACCTGCCTCTGCCTCCCAAGTGCCTGGATTAAAGGCGAGCACCACCACTGCCCGACATGTTTTATAATTTTTAAGTACAACAAAATGTAAGATAACAGTATAGATAATTTAGAAGAACAAGAAAATAATAGGGTAAGAAAGTTCAACTTGCTTTGGATATCTCAAACAGCTAGAAACACAGACAGGACACATTTTACAGCAGCATTCTTTTTCACTGGCTATCAGTTAAGCACCACATGCATCTTGAACCTGCTGCATGTCCAACTTGGTGTATCTACTTGCACACAGGCCTGATTTATGTTCAATATAAAACCAGGAGAAAAAAACACTATCTTTTTAATGTTTTCCCTTGCAAGACCCAACATGAAAAAGTAGTCAACTGTAATAACCTGTCAAGTAAATGAGGTCATTTTTCTTCAAACCAAACATCCCCATCTACTGCTCTTCCTTTCGGGGCAGGGTGATGGTGGGAAGGCAATCTTTATGTAGACCAGCTGATCTTGAACTATATAACAAAGGATGACCTTGAAAACCTGGTTAGTGTGTGGTGTTGGCTTTGTGTGTGGGAGACAAGTACTCTGAATGAGCCACATCCCCCTTCCCCAAGTCTAACTCTTTTTAAACTATAGGAAGGAAAACAAATGTTCCTATGATAATGTTCTAAATTTAATTAATCCATTTTGGTGGAACAGATGGCAGGGAGTAGGAGATGGCTGAGGACTTCTAAAATTAGTAAATACGATTTATATGAAAAGTAATAGAAAACTCTTTACTTTGAGGTCCATTCCTTCAAAACTACAAGAGTTTCCAGAGAAAAATACTGCAAGGTAATGAGCGGCTGTCTCCACAGGACAATATTCTGTCTTTCTTCCCGATCCCTTCTCTTCTTTTCATATACTGAAGAGGGGTCTGAAAAACAACAGCATAGAAGTTAAAATAGAATTCCTAACATCTGTGCCACCTTTTTCTTTTCTTCCTCCCTCCCTCCCTCCCTCCCTCTCTCTCTTTCTTTTTGGGTTTTTGGAGACAGGGTTTCTCTGTGTAGTTTTGGTGCCTGTCCTGGATCTTGCTCTGTAGACCAGGATCTTGAACTCAGAGATGCACCTGGCTCTGTTCCCGAGTGCTGGGATTAAAGGCGTGCGCCACCACTGCCCAGCTATGCCACCTTTTTCAAAGAATTAAAATCAACACACCTACCTATGTTATATCTTAGACTGCACACACATAAAAAAAAAAATCTCAAAAGTAGAATGAGATTTAACACATCCAGACCCTGAAAATTTAAGGGGTACAAAGTACTAAACTGAGAGGAACAAAATTCTCACAAGTATCTGAACTCCCTAACAGAAAGCCAAGGACTGTGGTAGGTCCCCGTACTGAAGCCTCAATGGCTTCTTATGTGTCTGTACATCTACCTCTTTCCATCAGTGGCAACTCTGCAAAGTATTCTTTTTAGTTATCATGGAGAGGGACAGTACAATGTATACCTGCTTAGAAATGTAGTGGATGAAAAAAAGTTTCATCCATGTCCCAGGTAACCATTCACAGCAAGTCCTATAATCCTGAGAAATGGCAACCAGTCCAAATTCAGCCATCTTTACTGGCTCAGAAAGGAATGAATTGCCACGGTCACTACTCATTTTTGGTGCTGATGACCAATCCAGGACTCACACCTGCTGTGCGTGTCCTCTATCACTGAACCACACCAGCATCTCCAGGGCTGTTGTTTGCCCATCAGTGTTTATGAGGCAGCAACAACAAACCCCGCAAAACAACAACAACAAACAAAAACAAAAAACCATACAATCCTATTCTTAGCTGGCTGGGTGGGTGGGTGGTGGCACACGCCTTTAATCCTAACACTTGGGAAGCAGAGGCAGGTGAAGCTCTGTGAGTTCGAGGCTAGCCTATAAACAAAGTGAGTTCTAGGACAGCCATGGGTACACAGAGAAACCCTGAAGCCTTGCCTCAAGGGGGGAAAAAAAAAGATCCAGCAGTTGATTTTGGACTAAAACTACAAATTTGGAATGATACATGTATGTAGGATAGTCATTTCTGCTGCAATATGCTTGTTTGTTTTGAGACAGAATCTCACTACACATCCCTGGTTGTCCTAGAAGTCACTAAGTAGATCAGGCTGGCCTCAGACTCACAGATGCATGCCTATCTCTGCCTCCCGAGTACTGAGACTAAAGGTGTGTGGCGGCATCTCAAGATGTAAAGGCCAACGACTTGGACGGTGAAAGGATTGAGGGATACACATAAAGAGCCAGCCCCCGGCAGTTTGCTAGTACTGCTGCCTATATTCCTTACCTGGAAAACTCCCATTATGCTGCTCCTTACTCATTGCTACACGTCTCTGGTCACAGTTTTTTCCATTTTCTGCCATTTCATAGATCAGTAACTCTGGAGGAGCTAACACAGAAAATAAAGCCCAGCAACACATTAGATTCTTCTGCTTTGCAGCTGAGACTAAAACTGAATACAGGAGCAACATGGCATACATCCTACATGTGAACTATATGATGTGTTCACACTATTTTTTCTTTTTATAACCAAGAGTTTTATAAATAGCTTATATAATTCCATATAAAAGCTTGTGATTATAAACCTTTTCTAAATAGTTATTCTAGTGATTTGTTTTCTAGATTAAAATTTGGGAACATTTTATTCACAAGTACTAATACATCCCAATACTGATAAACTATAGATCTAATATCCATCTAATTCATAAACTAAAAAAGACACTATTTGAAATTTGCCATTTTTTGTTATCATTTTATCTTTTATAGTTATATTAACATTATTAGAAAATAAATTCATAAAACAAAACAAAACACAAAACATTTATGAGCCAGGCAGTGGTGGCACACAACTTAATCCCAGCACTGGGGAGGCAGAGGCAGGTGGAACTCTGTGAGTTCAAGGACAACCTGGTCTACAGAGTAAGTTCCAGGGCAGATAGGATGACACAGAGAAACTCTGTCTCAAAAAACCCAAAAGTAAATAAATAAATAGATTCATTGTATTATTAACACAAATATCACAGATCCAAGAACACAGGAGAGCTTTATGTAGAAAACACTGATTCAAATGGTAATGGGCACAGAAGATAAAATTTTCATGTTTAAAATATATTAGAAGTTCAAGGCCAGTCTGGGCTATGTGAATGCCTATCTCGGGGGGGGGGGGTATATTCAAATAATATAACTTATTCACCCACAAAAGAGATAAAGCAGATGTGAGTGTGACCTGTTTGCAACATCTACCATCCCACTGACTGCCAGGTGGAGTCAGCTGATTCAGTTGCCTAAACTGGTGTCCTTTCCCTCCCACTGTTCCGTGGAGGTCCCTTCCAAAGGTGCATGCTTCACAGGTTGAGGAGGACAGCCATTTGTCAGCCAAGGGTGTTGAAGCAGGTGTACCCCCCTGCTAGAACCTCCAAACAAGTTCTCCAAAATGAAGAGCCAGGCATGGTGCCTCATGCCTGCAATCTCAGAACTTGGGACACTGAGTCTGTCTACACACACACACACACACACACACACACACACACACACACACACACACACACACACAGCAAAAAGAAAGGGACCACTGGCCAGGGATAGGATATTTACATAAAAGACCATGTATGTATATACATGTGTTCTTGTGTGGAACTAACCCTAAATGCTAAGACATCCAAAGGGTAGGAAGTAGGTGAAACTTGGAAGCCACCTAAACCAAAAAACCAACATCATGCTACCTTCACAGTGATACCACCGTGACTCACTCTACTAGTCCACAACAGGCCCCTGAGGTGAGGTTATAATGAGTAAGATAAGTCTTTAGGAGAGTCTGGCAGAAAACAAATGAACACATGAGATCAATTACAATTGAACAGAATGAAATTGGAGATTAGTGAGATTAGATGAAAAAAAGACAGTGTATAATTAAACAGGGTTTAGCGTTTAACAGAATGGGATTTAAACATAACCTTCACAAGCAACTACTCTAGGGATCTGAACAAATCTATAAATCTCTACAAACAAGTTCAACTTTATTGCTGTTTTGAGACCAAGGTGGCCTATAACTCACTAAGGAGCACAGGCTGGTCTTGAACTCCATAACATTACTTCAGCTTCCTAAGTGTTGAGAGTACCAGTTGCTCTATTTTGTAAAATAGGGACAACATGGGTTATCAAGAGGTATAAAATTAAAGGTAATATATACAACATACAAATGCATATAGCCTCAACTTTGTGGGGGTGGGGTGGGGTGTGCACATGAGAGAGTGTGTGAAGGTCAGAGGCAGATATCTAGTTATCTTCGTTTATGGCTTTCCACTTTTTTTTTTTTTTTTTTTTTTTTTTGAGACAGGGCCTCTCACTGAACCTGGAGTTCATTGATTCAGTTAGCCTGGCTAGCCAATGAGCTCCAGAGATCATTTTGTCTTGGCATTCACCAGCACTGGCGGTACAGATGCATGCTGCCATGCCTGGGTTTTATGTGGTTCTGGGGGTCTGAACTCCAGTTCTCAGGCTTGCATGGCAGACACTTTAACTGCTGTGGTCATCTCCCTTGCCACATCTTTCATATAAATTCAATATACATTTCCCAATACAATGAAGAGGAGCAGGAGTTTTATGGGAGCTTAAGAGGACAATGTATTTCAAATTTTATTTTATAAATTTAAGTCAAATTTCTGTGAAGATATTGTCAAAATACACCATAGCCATTACCATAAGAGAACGACAAACGTGTCTTGTGAAAACACATAAAATCAGAGTTTTAATGAAGTCTACTGAGGATGTCTGAAACAGCACTGTCTACAAGAATGAAGGATTTTCTACCTTCCAATTATTTAATTCATACGTAAGTTTGAAGAAGCTTGAAACTATGGGGGACTGGATTTGAACAAAACCCATAGCCAATCATCTATATATATATCACAACAAGTAAGATTTGATCAATTTTCAGTAAAAAAAAAAAAAACAAAAAACAGAGCATAAACTGGATATGGTAACACACACTTAACCATGCTCCCCATGTGCATGCAGACGCATGCACGCACGCACGCACGCACGCACGCACGCACGCACGCACGCACGCACGCACACACACCGAGAGGAGGGGCACAAAAAGGCTTACATTGTGAAGCAAACTTTCTGCCACCACCCAGGCCTGCAAAACTGTTCTGAACTCATTCCCCCTATTTACTCTTTGCCTCAGTATCATCTTGAGTAGACAAACAACTTGGGTCCATTTAAGGTCGAATTGAGCAACAATGATACTGTACAAATAAAGGTTTTGTTTTTGAAATATTTTAACAGGAGTTTTTATTTAAGCAAATAATTATACAATATTGTTCTTATACAATATGCTAAAAAACTTATTGACATTTCCTTCTCAATAATTCTCTTTATGAAAGTTAAAATCTGTAATTTTGTTAGAAATAACTGATGAAATAGTTATTTTTGTTTAGTCAGTCTACTTCACAAACAAAATAAATTCAGTTTTAAAAACAAGTTTTTAATGAACACCTGGTTTTTGACAAAGGAGCCAAAACTATATAATGGAAAAAAGAAAGTATCTTCAACACATGGTGCTGGCATAACTGGATCTCAATATGCAAAAGATTACAAATAGATCCATATCTGTCACCATGCACAAAACTCAAGTCCAAGTGGATCAAAGACCT